CTCCCCCGCCGCCCGGATCCACTCGCCGAGCGGCCTCCGATCTCCTCCCCGATCCCTTCGAGGGACCAGGAAGGGAACTGTGGGAGCCGCTTGGTATCCCTCCGCCGGGGTCACCCCCTCCCCTCCGTGGCAGCAGGAACTAATTCCCCTTCGGGTCACCCGGGCTCTAGACGTGGGGATTTCGCGGATCGCGGCTTCCTTGGGACCCCCCGGGAAGAAGGGACGGCCCCCACCAGTTAGAAAACCCCCTGCCAGCCCCCGAGAGCGGGGTTCGATTTAAACCAGGGCTTTAGCCCCATGACCCCAGCCAGGCCCCGCCCCTTCCTGGTTGTCCTAGCGACGGCGGTGGCGTCCCAAGATGGCGTCGTGGCTGCCGGAGACTCTGTTCGAAATTGTCGGACAAGGCCCGGCGCCGAGCAAGGACTACTACCAGTTACTGGTCACCCGTTCTCAGGCAAGTGCGAGCGGCGGTCGACCCTCTCCCCTGACTTCCCCGCCGGTCCCGCCCGGGGCCCGGAACGCGAGCCTCGCCAGGCCCGGAGCGGCCGCGGCCCGCCGGAAGCGCCGGCCCCGGCTCCGGGTCGGCAGCTTTCGCTCGTCACCTCGGCCCGGCGGCCCGCGTGTCCCCTGCCGTCCCCCCTCCCGGCCGGCGGGCGTCCGCCGCAGCGCCGCCCCGGGCGCCCTACCCCGGCTTGCCGGCGCGCCGCCTCAGCCTCGGAGCGGGAAGGGGCGAGAGAACGGCGCGGCCGAGGGTCCCGAGAAGGGGCCGGCGGCGCCTCGGTTCCGGCTCCGGGCTCGGGGCGGCCTCCGAGGCCCGCGACCGCGGCGCGCCCGGCGCTCACCTGTTCGGAGCCCCCGCCGTGCCGTCGCAAGTGCCGGAGGCGGCTCGGAGCCCTGTCAGCCGCGCGGCGCGCCGCCCCACCCACCGCGACCTCCGCTGCCCCACGAGGAGGCCGGGCCCGCCGGGCCGGGCCGGGGCCGGGCGCGCCTCGGGCCGGGGTCGGGGGTCCCGGCGGAGCGCGGCTCCCCGCCGGCCGCAGCCGCGTTGGCTCTAGGTGGCCCTCGCTGGCTCTCGGCGGGTCTCTCCAGGGTTGGTATCTCTGCTTTAAAAAAAAAAAAAAAGTATATTTTGTTTTTTTAATGAGCCCTTTATAGGGATTTTTTTTTACATATTTAACTAGGGTTTTCTTCTATTGTGAAGTTTTTTTTCCTTTTTTGTTACTTTTTTTTCTATTTTGGAAGGATTTTTGACTTTTCCATTTGCTTTGGGGTTTATGACCCTGACAATTTTGCACCAACACGAATGAAACACATAAAAAAACCCGAAAGATAATAATATCCCTATGTAATAACCCCGGTGGTTTTCAGCTTCCATCTACTGCTTTTCCATACTGTGTCTGTAAAATTTCTCCTTCCCTCCAGGGTCTGGTGTTCGGGCTGTGCTGGTCTCTCTTGCCCTACGCCTGAGTTGAGCGGGTTTCATTTTTTATTTTTGTAAATCGGCGTCAGGAGCAGCTCCCCGCAGGGTTCCTCAGGAGTTCTGGGGTTGCTGTCATTCAGACCACCGTGTCCTGAGGTCCAGCTGGCGCACTCGGCTCCCCCCTATGAAATGGCCTGCTCGCTCAGCCCCGCCAGCATCCTCACTCTCCTTTAACAGATCGAAAAGCTCTACAACGTGTTGGCCTTCATTTTTTCTGTCATTTACCAAATCCTTTTCAAGATCTGATCCATCTTTTTTTAAGCATTTGAATAAATCCACTGCAGTGCTAGCCAGGGAGAGTACAGCTCAAATCTGATTAATTCACCCTCTTTTTAAAGTAAAATTTGTTGTAAAAAATAGCAAGCCAAAAAAAAAAAAAAAAAAACACCACTTTTTAAGTCAACTGTCTTGAGAATATGCTATTTCCTAACCACAAGATAATTTTTCTAAGTCTCAGCACAGGAAACCAAGCATCCAGTAAGAGGCAGCCTGACATAAATAAGTGCCCAAAGACTAGAATTAAAATGTGTTTTATAAGGCGGACTTTCTTCTGGGGTGACTTTCTAAAATTGTCTCATACTTTTCTCTCTTCTCCCTTTAGTCCAAAAAATGTTGTGTTATCCAGAATAAAAGTATGCCCCAGATTTAGATAGATCCTTCCTTCATGCTGATTCCCTCTTTACATCTTTTTAACTGCATTTTTGTTGTTGGCTTTAACTGTCATGGAATTTAGGTCAAATATTTGTCTTATTAGTGCCATACCACCAGTGACATGGTCCAGAATATAAATGTTATACATAAATATTTTCTTTGCCTTCACACACAGTAAAATTCAAAATATGGATGTTTTTATTCTTATAGAGGCATAAAACAACAGTGTGCTTTTTTTTTAATTTCTTTTTTTTTAAGATTTATTTATTTATTTGAAAGTCAGAGGAGAGACAGAAAGGTCTTCCATTGGATGGTTCACTCCCCAATTGGCCACAATGGCCGGAGCTGCACTGATACGAAGCCAGGAGCCAGGAGCTTCTTCGGGGTCTCCCATGTGGGTGCAGGGGCCCAAGGACTTGGGCCATCCTCTGCTGCTGTCCCAGGCCATAGCAGAGAGCTGGATCAGAAGAGGAGCAACCAGGTCTAGAACCGGCCCCCATATGGAATGCCAGCACTTAAGGCCAGGGGGTTAACCTGCTGCAGCACAGTGCCAGCCCCCCCCCCTTTTTTTTTTAATTTCAAAACAACTTTCAGAGCGTTAGATCTGTATAGATTTCTCAAATTTGATCTGTTAGAAAAACCAGTGCACTGCTTTCTGTGTCAAAGATTCACCCAGCTTTTCACTCTAGTTTGAATAGTGTAAATACGTTTTCTCATTTTGGATTCGTAGATTCATAGTACGTTAGAGCTGGAAAGAATCTTGAATATTGTTTAGGCCAGGAATATTTCACATATGGCTTCTAAGAAAGTCCCAAATTGTGTTCCTGAATGAACACATCCATTGCTTCGTTTTAATCAGTAACTTGGCATTTATCATATAGACACAAAATACAAGGTTTCTGCGCTCAAAGAACTTGTCGTTCTTTGAACAGACATGTACTGAACAAGTCTTATATTCCAGATAAGCTATTCTAGATGTTAGGGAAATGTCAGTGACCCCAACAAGTACCTTTAAACACTTAAATGATTTTACCTTTGGTTTTTTAACTCCATAGGAAGTTCATGAGAAATTGCCAAGGTAATGACTTGTACAGACATTTTAAAATCTTGAATCCAGAGGAAGCAGGAAATCAGTTTAGGTAATCGAAGAGGGTTCTGTTAACAGTTGTTTTGCTCTTTCTCCTCTCATATTGGAAGTGTTGCTTAAGATGACCGAGGCTGGCGGCTTAGGTTTAGTGTGACAAATAGTGGGGCAGTGTTAGAATTCGCAGAGTGGCCGTTTGCAGTTGATAACACCGTTGTCCCGAGAGTGCCGACGACGTGCTGCAGTCCTCAGGAGATGAAAGGCGGGAAAATCGGGCAGTAGATGAGTCTTACTCCATCTGTGTTTCCAAATCCTGCACGAAGCTCCTAAAAGATAGCTGAAGCTAATTATCACTGGGAGGGGGGAATATCGAAAAGCTTGCCCCTCCCCTCCAAAAAATGGCAAATATTTTTGAAGTGCCTTAGAATTGTTTGTGCCCCGACAAATTGAAATCACCTGAGGTCCCAGGCCACCCTATGACAGGAAACTCATCTCAGTGACTTGTGACAAAGGAATTTTAAAAACTACACTTGGCGAAGACTGAGAGACAACAAAGAATTGTGCTAGTGCCATTTCAAACTCTAACCACTTTTAAAGATTTAAAATTTAAATGCAGTCTTTTTTTTCCCAGAAACCTTTTATTCAAGGTATACACACTTCATGCATTTCATAAATACAAATTTAGGAACACAGTGATTCTCCCCATCCTACCCGACCTCCCTAAATGCAGTCTTGTAAAAATGTTAATGCATGCACCATTTGACCCAGCAGATCCATCTCTAGGATTTTATATCCAAAAATGCTTTCATTGTTGTGAGCAAGAAGATTCACCAAAGTAAAATAATTATGAATATTATTATCTTTTCATTAGTAGAAATGTGTTAAGCTGTGGTTCATTCATACCATACTGTAGAATACCATGCAACGTTTTAAAAACAGTGAGGTGGATTTCTATTTAAATAGTAGACCAAGTTAAATATTTAGCAAAAAAAGCAAGTTGCTGGGTTAAACATAGTGTGATCCTTTTTTTTTTTTTTTTTCATTTAAAAGTCGTTTTAAATGAATGTTAGTAAACTTTTCAGTAAATGTCAGAGGAAAAGCCTGCAGTGCTTTGCTGTTAGGGATAGAGTAATGGTTTGCTTTCACTTTATGCATTCATGTTTCTGAAAGATCTGAATTTTGTACAGTGAGCTTTTATTTTTATAATCAAAGAAAAGCATCAGATTTTAAATGAAAGCGAAGGAGGGACGCTGCCCCACTCTCCACCTCGGCTTCCCCATGTCACCAGCGCCACCTCTGAGCAGGCCCCTCCATGTTCACCACTGGCACAGCACTGATTGCAGCTAGGTCACCAGAATTCTGGGTTGTTTTTTTTTTGTTTTTTTTTTTTTGGTGCGGGAGGGATCTAATTCTACAGATTGAGAAAATGTGCAAACGAGTTAGTGATTGCTTGTAAAGCTGTAAGGAAACCTTAGTGACCAGCAACTGCTGACCGTTCTTTCTGTGATAATATAGGTAATCATTACTTGTGAGAAACTAACGGATCGCTCCTGCTTGCCTTGTTGGCACGAGCTACGGGGTACTTCAACAAGTCTGTGGAGAAATGGGAATAGAAGATAACACGCATTTTTCATGAACTTTCTGGAGCCCTCCTGTATCCCTAACGAGCAATAGGGAGAGCTGAGGCGTAAAGGAAGGCAAAGGTCACCCACTAAACAGGTGGATTTTGCCCTGATCAGGGTAAAGAACAGAATTCCTCAAGCAACTAATAATCTAGTATTATTAAGATTTATGTATTTGACAGGCAGAGTTATGGAGAGAGGGAGAGACAGGTCTTCCATTTGCTGGTTCACTCCCCAGATAGCCGCAATGGCTGGAGCTGCACTGATCTGGAGCCAGGAGCTTCTTCTGGGTCTCCCACGTGGATGCAGGGGCCCAAGAACTTGGGCCATCTTCTGCTTTCCCAGGCCTTAGCAGAGAGCTGGATAGGAAAAGGAACAGCTGGGTCTTGAACCGGAGCCCATATGGGATGCTGGCACTTCAGGCTGGGGCTTTCACCTGCTGCGCCACAGTGTTGGCCCTAAAGTCTTTAAATGAACACCAGATTGCACACTTTGGGAGCTAGGTGAGTGCAGTCACCTTACTGTCGGGCTGGCGTTTTCTTCAGGAACCCAGGAACCCTGAGTAGTGCCCTGCTATCCCTTCACCCCCAGCACGAGGCCCCCAGAGCCAGACACAGAGCAGAGGAGAGGAGAGGGACTGCCCCCTCGTACTTCCGCCTCCTTTCCTTGTCCCTGAGGGACACTGCCTGCTCGTGGAAGTCCGCAACACAACACCCGTCCTGCCCGCTGACCACCAGCCACGGCCACAGTGTTTCCACACAGAAACCACCGCTGCTGCTCCCGGTGGGAGCCAGAGGCCAGCCGGGAGCTTCCCCCTTCTCCTTGTCTTTGTCTTGAATTTCCCTTCCCCCTTCAGTCTGCCGCAGCCCTCGTCTCGGCGTGTTTTGGTTTTCCCTGCTGCCGTCATGTACACCTTCGCCCGCTCTTCCTGACAGCAGCAGCTGTAGTAAACATGCCCGGCCCGGCCCTACAGGTTGGGCCAGGTGTTTGTCACATTAAACCACATTATTCTTCTGTTCTTCATTGCCTGACACACTACAGAAAAATTATTCCCAACCTGTGGACTGTCCACGATGGGCCCAAGTTAGCGTTGCAAAATCACTTTTAATCAGAAATTTTAAATTCCTCTTAGTTTTTTGTTTTGTTTTGTTTTTGCCACTTTAGGGGAGGAGAAAGATGCAATGATTCAAGTAAAGTGGTTACTCTCTTAAGCATACTAATGTTCAGGGCTGTGCTGTGTTAGAACACAGTCATCACGTGGCTCTAGAATCTTCCTGTCAAAATCACATGACAACACAGCCTCAGTCATCGTTTCTTTCCAGGTAAATCCTTGGTTCAGCACCTACCAGCGCCTACTCACTCTGGGCAGTTAATTTGGTCTCACCCTATGTTGACACAGATTTGCTTTATAATTATATGGGGCAGTAGAGCACTTAATTGGGAGTTGCTGAGTCATGGATCCTTTTATTCCTCCTGCTAGTCTGCAAGCTGTTGACCTGGGGCTAGGCCCTTAATTTGTCTGGGCCCCAGGTGCCTCATCAACATAATAAGGTTATGGTCTGAGAGATCATTGAGGTTTATTCCATCTCTGAAATCCTACTTCACATGAAATCATGTGTTATACAGGGAAAAGCACTGGGTGGTTCTTTTTTCTTTTCTTTTTTTTTTTAAACTAAGTTTGCCTCAGAGCCTCCTGTACTAGCTGTAAGACCCAGTGTGAGTCTTCTCCTGCCCGCTGTTCCGTTTCTTCATCTATGAGATCAGCTCACTCCTTGACTACTTCACAGATTTGGTGAGAGCCCACTGTGTGTAAAACACACCCAGGCCAGAGTTCTGCAAAGAGATGTTTCATGATCAAATAAAATTGGAAAGCCTTGTTTGAAACAAAATTGTATTTGCTTATTTTCTCTGAAATTTCTCAGAGCCTCTGAAACCCTACTGTGCGTCGTGACTCTCCAAGAGGAGACTGCCTCCAGGCTTGCCACCACGGAACCCTCTCTGCCCTGAGGATCTTCGGGAAAGGAGACTGACTGTGGAACCCTCTGGAAAGCACCCTGCAGCGGGCCTGGCACCCAGCAGCAAACACTGAAGGAATGTCTGAATGCCATGAAAACAGTTACAGTATCCCTTTAGTCAAGTCACCAGTATGCTGTTTATTTTTACACTTAGCTTACGTTTATACACACACACAACATATTGGTGTTTTGACTAGAGTTGCAGTGGATATGTGGATCAGTTTGTAATTTGACATCTTTCAAAATTTTCAGTCCACAAATACAAGCTTTTTTAAAGAAGTTTTTTAGGTATTTCATCTTGTGTAGTGATTTCTCATCTTACCTTTTTAAACAAACAAACAAAAAAGATTTATTTATTTGAAAGGCATATCAACAGAGGCAGATCTTCCATCTGCTGGTTCACTCCCCAAATGACCTCAACAGCCAGCTCCAGGCCAGGTAGAAGCCTGAAGGCGGGACTCCACCCAGGTCTCCCGCTGGGAGGCAGGGGCTCAAGTACTTGAGTATGGTGCTGATGTAGGACACAAAGCTGGATGCCAGGGAGCAGATCAAGAAACAAGACTTGGCTCAAGGCCTGTCACTGGCTGGCAGATTATCCTTTTGTTTTGCAAATGAATGTGCCTCTGAGGGTTCCTGAGCATTTTATTCAAGCCTCCTCTTTGGATGAGTCTTCACTGATTAAAAAATCTTCAAACCAAAGAAATAGCTACACCTTTTAATGCCTTAACTTGTACTTCCAAAGTCTAGATAAACATGTTTTGGTGTGGCCACGGAGGAGAGCCTCTGTCATCCCTAGGAATACAGTAGGATTTTGAACAAATGTTTCCTTGTGCGGAAAGGCTGAGCTCTCATCAGCCCTCTGGATTCGTGCCTATACAAAGCAGGTATAATTGGAGCAGAGGTAAGCCTGAAAATCATGACAATCTCAGACTCACCAGCTCAGCACAAAATGTTGGCTTCCTGACAGTTTACAAAAACACACCGATCACCTTGTGATAACATCAAGCTGAAGAGGGTGTGAACACCGTGGTTTTCAATAGTTTGTCTGACCTGGTTTTTATAACCAGGAGACAATAATTTTGTAGAAATTGTTAATGATTCAACTCTTAAAAAAAAACTTATTTATATGAAAGGCAGAATTAGAGGGAGAGAGCTTCCATCTGCTAGTACAATCCCCAAATGGTTGCAATAGCCCAGGTAGGGGCAGGCTACAAGCCAGGAACTCCTGGTTGTCCTGTGTTGGTGACAGAGCCCCAAGCGCTTGGGCCCTCTTCCTCTGCTTTCACAGGCATCTTTGCAGGGAGCTAGATCATAAGTGGAACAGCCAGGACTTGAACTGGTGCCCATATATGGGATGCCGTGTTACAGGCAATGGTTTAACCTGGTATCCCACAATGCCAACCCCAACGATTCAACTCTTAAAAGTTTGTACTACTTACAGTTATAAATTTTGAATCCTTAGAATTGAATATCTAAAATCAGTAGCCTGAATAGTTTTTGGTTATTTGTTTTCAAACTAATTTCAGCTCATTCAACCAACTACTGTTTGAGTATCTCGTGTGTACCCAGTGCCACCAGGTTTTGTGCCAAGCACTAGGGGTATTGTTTGGAAGCAAAAGCACAGGGTTATCTGCTCTCTTGGATGCTACTGCAAGGAACACGAGCCAAACAGATGCGTCAGCCATGGCAAGTGCTGTCAGGCAGATACCGAGTGCCTAAGTGCGCCGGGGCAGCCTTGGTCAGGGTCATGGAAGGCTCTTGAGCAGAAGTCAAGCTGGACCTGAGAGGTGGGCGATGAGCTGCGTGGACAGAAGGCCAGTGCAGCTGGAGCACAGAGAGCGGAGGGAGGCAGAGGCCAGCTCTGGGCTGCTTAGAACATCTTCGGTGACTTAGGCCTGCTGCTGGGAAAACACGAAATGATTAATTTTTGAGGAAGTGAGGAGACTGGCTTGCTATTTAGCCTAATGATTGGGAGACATACTTTTTGGAAAAAAAATTAATATATTCAAAGTTTAATTCCTATTTTTCCTTTCTGGACTATATATAAAATAATGATATAGTTGATAGCATTTTAGAGCTGCTGAAACACGGTGATCAGGTTTGCAGTTGAAGATCACGTTGGATGTAATATAAAGAACAGATTTTTATCTGCATGGATCAAGGTATTTATATGACTTAACAAAATGCAGAAACTGCTGATGCTGAGTAACACTGATACTGATTTTCATCTATATTATAGTGCTCAATTTCAAAATTTTCTATCAGATTGTTCTCTAACTTTATCATAGCTAAATACTATCAATCGAAATTTATAAAAAGTCTATCTTCACTAAATACCCCCTTTTATTCAGTAGATAAGCTTAAATTGGTATAGATCAATATAGATGAAAAATCTGTATAGACTTGCCCTTTAAAGGGAAAATTCTGCTTTGGGAAACTAAACATTTGAAAACTACTAGTCTAGGTAGTAGGAATCCATAAGGGCTATTTGTGCAGGAGAATAGAATGATGGAAGCTTTAGAATAGAACGGTGACTCTGGCCACAGCCACGTGGAAGATAAAAAGGAGAGGGAAAAGGTGCTGTGAGAACAAGCGAGGAGAGGTAGGCTTGCTCTCTCTCCCCCAAGAAATAGAAAGCTTTCTACTTCCTAAAAATAGAAGGGTTATATGAAATAACACATATCTCTTCCTAACACATCTCTTTCCTGTTAAAGCTGTATTACAATGTCTCTTCAGCACTTTTAGCCAAGAACTCCATGTAGGTCTCCCAAATGGGTGGCAGTGACCTAAGTACTTGAGACATCACCTGCTGCCTCCCAGTCTGTACACTGGCAGAAAGCTGGATTGAAAGTGGAACAGCCTGGACCCACCAGCACTCTGATTTGGGATGTGGGAGTCCCAAGTAGAGCTTAACTTGTTATGCCACAATAACCAGCCTGGCCACCCTTCTTGTAAGAGATAATCTTGGATAATGAATACGTGGAAGAGTAAGGAGGAGCTAGAGGCAGCCACTGATACAGAATTTGACATAAAACAGTATGAATGTAGAAACAACTCTTTCCTGTTGGATGCCAGTCTATTCTGTTTTAAAAATGCTGAATAGGGGGCCAGTGTTATGGCGTAGCAGCTAAAGCCACTGCCTGTGATGATGGTACCCCATATGGGTACCAGTTCCTGTCTCGGCTGCTCCACTGCTAATCCAGCTCCCTGCTGATGGCCTGGGGAAAGAAGCGGAAGATGGCTCAAGTGTTTAGGCCCTTGCTACCACATGGGAGACCCAGATGAAGATCCTGGCCCCTGCTTTTGGCCTAGTTCAGCCCTGGCTATTGCAGCCATCTGGGGAGTAAACCAGCAGATGGAAGATCTCTCTCCTCTCTCTCTGTTTCTCCCTCTCTCACTATATAACTCTTTCAAACAAGTAAATATTTTTTAAAATGGAAATAAATAAAAATGGTGGCCATCTTGGCCATTACCATGACTCTACCCAAGACACTAGAGAAACTAAGAGGCAGTTGGTCACATTTTTTAATGCTTTTGCATTTTGTCTACTTTATCAAATTTATTTTTCTCAGTTGGCCTTGTTTAAGCTGTGACTAAAGAATCCTTTTAAATAAATGAAATATTATTCCTAAGTAGTTTTTTATACTGATTTTTTTTTACATTGTGTCTTTTTGGAAGGAGTTTGGTAACATTGCCTGCTTTGTAAGTACTAAAAGCATAACTACAGACATCTGATGGATGCATAAAGACGTTAAGTAGGCACCTTCACATCACAGTGCTAGGGTAATGACCATGCCTTTGGGAGTAATTCTGCCATGTTTACGTGTGCATCTGATTTGTGGGAAATAGGCTATACAATTCATGTAGGTAGATTCATGGGTTGAATTATGTCCCCTCCCCCATAAAATACTCCCCATCCCTCAGATTGTGATCTTGTTTAGAAGCAGGGTCATTGCAGATGTGGTTAGTTAAGATGAGGTCATACTGGAGTTGAGTGGGCCCCTAATCCTACATGACTGGTGCCTTTATAGGAAAATAGTGTATGAAAACACAGCCTAGATCAGGGGATGACGGAAGAGATCACAGTGTTGCAAAAAGAGGTGCCAGAGATGTCAGCAAACCTGCAGAAGCTGAGGCCAGGAGGGATCCCCTTTAGGTTTCAGAAAGAGTGTGGCTTGCCAACGCTGGTCCCAGGGCCTCGAGACACACATCCATCTTGTCAGAAGACCCCGTTTGTGGTGCTCTGTGAAGAGAGTCCTAATAAACAGGTGCAGAGTGTAGCGCATTCAAATAGGCCAAACAAGTGGCCACAGAAGTGGGACAGCATCACCTGTGCATCACCCCCATGGCTCACCTCTCTCGTGGGGGTGAGAAAATGCTGCTGCCCCATTCTAGTGCTCATTTCATGCCTCGGCCAAGCCCCCACCTGAGCTCAGTCACCATCTGTGTAGAGCGATCCCCTTGGCCCACTCCTGGCCACAGGTGGACACCAACTCTAGACCAGTGCATCCTCTGCCTGGCCAGCAGCCATATGGCTTTGTGTGGCCTCGTGTGAGAAGGTGAGCCCTCTCTCGACAGTTGGGACTGATAGACTCCAAAGGAGATGACTGCAGGGAACTAAGCCAGAAGGGTACAGAGCAGCTCAAAATGGCCATTCTGAAGCTGGTGCCGGCTGCTGGCCAGGAGAGGACGAGGGAGGTAGGAGGGCACAAGGAGAGGACCTGTGACAGGCAGTTGAAACCACAACTATGCTCTGCATTTACTAGAGATCCCAGTGTCACTGGGCTTAATGCCTCCCGGTAAAAGACTGCTGGTCCCAGCCTTCCAGGCAGTGAGTTATGTGCTGGAAGCCAGTATGGGAGATTCTGAGAAGTTTCCTCAAAGGACAGCGGGGTGGGGATAAGCCTTTTCATCTAACTGCTGGGAAATAACATCCTGGTGAGAGGTAGATAACGGAAGAGGGCTCCTCCGTCACCACCCTGACCCAGCACAAGGACTCCGCACACTGACAGTAACTTTGCTGCTGCTCTGGGTGCCGTTTCTGCCCTGTTGCCTTTCCCCTCCTCTCCCATCTTTCCATTCCCTTTTTATTCCTCTTCCTCTTGGTTTTTCTTTAGCTTTGCTGGATGAGTGCATTGGTTAGCACCTCTGCGTTCCTCTAGCCAGGTACCTGGTGCAGTGGGTCCTTCTCCTGAGAAATCATGTAGAGAACACCGTGGTCAGGAGCCTTGGCTGCAGAGCCAGGCTTCCTAGAATTGAGGACTAGCAGCTCCCAGGGGCTCCAGCACTGGCCAAAGGGAAGGTCCCGGGGCTTCCAGAACAGCAGTAGTCCAGCTTTATTCCACCACAGGACTTGGCCGCTCCAGCTCCCACGGTGTCCCCTGGGGCTCCATGTCCTTCCGCTTCCGCTGCCCCTACCAGTGGCTCAGTCCTGGGCCTCCAGCTCTATTTCTCACACAGAGGACATCTCATGTTTTCATTCAGCCACGCGTCCCTGGTAAGGGGCTGTCTCCCTCCAGACCTCCTCATCAGCCCCACCGAGCGTGCCTTGCCTGTCCTTAGTTGGAGTGTTAGGAGCTGAAGTTTTGCCAACTGCCTTTGTCTCCATTCGTGTGGGAACAGTGTGCTGACCTTACAAGGAAAAGTCATGTCTTCCCTAGCCTCATCCAAGATGGTCCAAAATGCCAGACCCAATAGTCTCAGTGGCCATAGTGATTCTCAGATGGGCCTACCAGTGGCTGCAACTGGATAAAGGTGCCCCTGCCTATCCCAGGATTCGGCACTGTAGAGATGAGAGCCATTACCCTGTACCGACCGCACAGCCAGCACAGAGGGCGTAGGTGCAAAGGGGCAGGGGGTTGGATCTCTGGAGCCAGCTGGGCCTCACCATTTATGTAAACCAGTTAGGTCCTCATTTTTGCTCAGTCAGATCTGAGAGGCTTTTTGCGTCACCTGTAACTGAGTGACACATCCAGCAACCACCCTGATCCTATCGCAGTGACTAAGAGTGGCAGGTCAGATGTCACCTGAGGAACAAAGTGTGCTCAAGGAAAGTCAGCCCCAGAGATGGGGCAGGCAGACCGCAGTTCAGCCTTCCTGTGCAGGCAAGGTCAGTAAAGGCTTGGAGTTGACAAGTCACAGTGGCTGTCTGAGGTTGTGAGACCAAAACAGAACAAAGTGGCCTTGAAAAGCTGGTGAGTTAGAGGTGAGAAGCATCCTGGAGCCTTGGCCCATTGGCAGCCTTGCTGCAGGTGCTGTGGCCATGTGTGTGTGTGTGTGTGTGTGTGTGGACGTGATGTGGACTTCTCCCAGTATCCATTCATGAAGACTCCATGGAGTAGTATGTGTGGAGTCAGCTGCCTGATACGGGGTCTGGAATCCCTCCTGGCCTGGAAGTATCCCTGCCTCCCTCAGATGCCTTTCCTGTATGATCCATTGCAGAGATCAGCAGTGGGGGCAGGTGCTTAGCACAGAAGTTGAGGGGCAGCAGTAGAGCATTCCTCTGAGGGTTGACCGGGTAGGATGCAGAGTTCCCCGGGGGCATCATCTGGAGTACCGCGTGGAGTTCGATGGCTTCTGGTTGTTCAGTCCTGGGTAACACAAAGCATAGGCAGTTACTATCTCTCCCAGCTGACAGCCTCATCTTGTGAGATCGAGCCGGAAGCCTCAATGTCAAAGACTTAGTTTTAGCACGTTAGATACAAAAGAATTGTCAGGTTTTAACCATCTGGTCCAAGTTAAACCTGATCATCCTAATGCCGTAGACAAGATCTAATCTGATAAAGCTGACTTCTGTAAGATTCAAATAGTTAAAGCAATCATACTCAATAAAGGCAAAAGAAAACACATGAAACTTCCCAAGATACTAGGACAGTTACAAAACACCAGAAAAACCTTGTTCAAAAAGTACTGGCATGTAATACTAGCATGAGCCAATCAGGACAGCTGCATACATCATGTTACAAAGAGGAGGCGCGTCAGGTAATGCTCTCTGTCTTAAGAAGAGCTGACTCTAATTCCTTCCAGTCCGGTCCAGACTGACCTTGTACAGCAGTCAACTTCCACATTCTACACAACACGCGTATTCCTTCAGTTTCTGTCAAAAAGATTCTATCCAAACTTCCTTTTTTTTTTTTTTTTGACAGGCAGAGTGGATAGAGAGACAGAGAGAAAGGTCTTCCTTTTGCTGTTGGTTCACCCTCCAATGGCCGAGGCACCGCGCTGATCCAAAGGCAGGAGCCAGGTGCTTCTCCTGGTCTCCTCTGGAGTGCAGGGCCCAAGCACTTGGGCCATCCTCCACTGCCTTCCCAGGCCACAGCAGAGAGCTGGCCTGGAAGAGGGGCAACCGGGAAAGAATCCAGCGCCCCGACCGGGACTAGAACCCGGTGTGCCGGCGCCGCTAAGTGGAGGATTAGCCTATTGAGCCACGGCGCCGGCCCCAAACTTTCTTTTTTAAATATTTATTTATTTATTTAATTGAAAGTTACACAGAGAGAGGAGAGAGGCCTTCCATCCACTAGCCCAATCCCCAATTGGCCACAACAGCCAGAGCCTTGCCTATCCGAAGCCAGGCGCTTCCTCCAGGTCTCCCACACGGGTGCAGGGGTCCAAGGACTTGGACCATCTTCCACTGCTTCCCCAGGCCACAGCAGAGAGCTGGATCGGAAGTGGAGCAGCTGGGACTCAAACCGGCGCCCATATGGTATGCCGGTGCCTCAGGCCAGGGCCTCAACCCGCTGCGCCTCAGCACCGGCCCCAAACTTTCACTTAACCTTCTGTAACCAAGGATACATTCTCATGCTTATAGCCCTCTCCACAACTTTCTTTCCTGCCCATTGGTTCCTTCAATTCAAATCCTAAACAGTCATCCTCAAGGCCTCTAAATTAAGAGAAACTTATCCTTTAAAAGAACTTGCAGAACTTTAACCCATAGTTACTTTAAAGCAGTTTTTGAATTTTGAAAACAATAAGCAGTTGTTGAATCTAGGTAGGAAACAGGTGAATGATTTTCACACAATTACTTTAGCGAAGGGTTGGGGAAAATATTTAGCCTAGAAGACAAGACATTTAAGCATAGTACCAACAATGCCTTTTTTTTTTTTTTCCTAAAGATTTGTTTATTTGAAAGGCAGAGAGAGAGGAAGAGTTCTTCCCTCCGCTGGTTCACTCCACAGATAAGACACAACGACTGGAGCTGGGCCAATGCAAAGCCAGGAGCTTCTTCCAAGTCACCCACACAGGTGCAAGGACCTGGGCCATCTTCTGCTGCTTTCCCAGGCCATAGCAGAGAGCTGGATCGGAAGTGGAACAGCTGGGACTTGAACTGGCGCCCATATGGGGTGCTGGCACTGCAGGAGGCAGCCTTACCTACTATGCCACAGCACCAGCCCCAACAATGCTTTTTAAAAAGACATACGTAAATGTTTTTAGAATCATGTTGTGGATGGCAAGATTCAAACTGGTAATGATCACAGTAATAGTTTGCAGCATCTTAGGAAGTATAATCACTGACCTTTATACATTTAGGACAGTGGCATTTGGAAGGCTCTAGTTTAACAAGGCGTATATTGATGATTGGATAACAGAAGAATCTTAAGTAGGTGGGCAGAGAAACTTGTATAATTTAGCAAGCAAG